CATTTAAATCCCATATAACAAGCTTAAATCTTCCCCATAAATCATGCTTCACTTCAATCCAAGTGCCAACCAAACCATGGATCCACTACAACAAGCCTTGTCTCTCATCCACCGTGGCTGCAGGTTGGCTAAAGACCTCGAAGCAAGGCTCGGGGATTTGGCTAACCAGCCCGAAACACTTTACAAGTCTTGTGATAATATCGTAAACATGTTTGCCAGTGCCAAGGAAATGTTGAACAATGTTCATCCTCAGCAGCAGACTGATCCCAGTTTGCAGGAATTGTTGAATTATGGTGTCATTACACAAGCAATGGATATGATTCAATCTGGCAGAACCAGCATTAGCATCGGGGAAGAAATCCAGGCCATGGAGGTGTCGGATTCTGGTATAGGTTCTTCATCCTCATCCCAACATTCCCATAGAAGGTTAGAAACTCAATTTCCCAGATTATATATGTACATGTACATGTATGTATGATATTGATTTTGTTGTTCGTTACTTATAATACAACAGCAGGAAACATGATGAAGAGAAATGCAGAATGAGAGTGCCGGCCCCTCAGATGGGGAATACCGACCTTCCTCCGGAGGATAACTATACTTGGAGAAAATATGGGCAGAAAGAAATTCTGGGTTCAAGGTACCCTAGGTAAATCTATCAATTCATTCATTGTTTATGCATTTATGATTCAAATCATGGCATATATATGCATGCATGTTTAAATTCATGTTAGTTACTTGAAGATTCAAAACTTTGATCAAGAACAGGAGGTCGCTTAGAATTTCACCTGGTCTCCCCCTATATAATTTTTTAAAAGATTTGACTGCTTCTTCCTTTCCCAAGAAAATAAAATTAATCAGTTGACTGCTTCTATATATGAATCTTTCAACACTTTATATACTAACATATGTAGAGATAATAAAATGGTGGGTGGATGTTTCATGGTTCACACCTTTAAATGAGTGGCGATGATGATTGGTGACGGATCTAATTTTTTTTTTCAAGATAAAAATATATATATTAATAATATTCGTATCAAAAAAATATATATTAATAATATAAAGTTTTTATGTTAGGCGAGCACAAATAAAATTTCATGGTGCACACAATCAATAAAATAAACAATTAACATAAAAATATATGTCCACCCTGAAGAAAACAGACATCTCCACTGATGATCATACATGATCAATGGCGGAATACAATGGTGGCTAGTAGGAGTCACCCCAACTTTAAAAAATTATAATTTAGGCTTTTAAAATTTTTAAAATATTTAATTTGGCCCCCACAAGATTTTTTAAAATTCATATTAATCTTTAATTTTTTTGAAAATTCTTAATTAAACCCCTCTTATAATTTTTAAATATTCTCATTGAGTCTCTTAAAATTTCAAAAACTTTAGATAGATCCCAATATTTTTGAAAAAAAAATGTAAACTAAATCCTTTAAAATTTTCAAAAAATTTAAATTAAACTTGTGATTTTTTTTAATTTTAAGTTTACCACTCCAAATTTTATCACAAGTTCCAATACTGTAGATACGAAAATAAAATAAGTAAAAAGTGAAAGTCGGTAAAATGATAGACACGAGGGGTTGATTTTCAGGGCATACTACAGGTGCACACACCAAAAGATGTATAACTGCCCCGCAAAGAAGCAAGTGCAGCGACTGGACAACGATTTTTACACATTTGAAGTAACCTACATTGGCCAGCACACGTGCCACATGTCCTCCACCGCCCCCTCCATCGCGCCGCCATCGTCAACCCCTCTGATTCAGGATCCCATGGTTATGGTTTCTCAGCCTACACTACCTCCAACTTCTTCTTCATCAGCAGCTCCTTTAGGAACATGGCTCTCAATGGAGTTCAGTCTGGATTCGGGTTCGAGTTCTGGTGGAAGAGGTGGTGGCGATGCAGGTGCATCGTCGGCAGCCGGTGGTGGCGGAGCTTCCATGGGGAGCCGATACGGAAGGGAAGCTGTTGAGTTTCCAGCAGTGGCGGATATGGCTGATGCAATGTTTAATTCAGGCAGCAGCAGCAGCAATAGCATGGATTTTATTTTTCCACAAATGGATGACAAATGGGAGGCAGGTGACAAGGCAAATTGATGATGAAATGTGCAAACTTAATTAAACAATAGAAACATTGTTGATGACGGCATAATGGCCATCCTTTTCTTGCTCTTAACACCATTTATTTGCTGCTTTTCTTTTTCCCTTTTCTTATATTCTTTTTCTTCCATTTTGTCTCATCAGACAATAATTTACCTCACATAGATTACGGGCTGATTCTGTTCATTTGTGTTTGGTTTTGTACCATTTATCACACTTTGTTGGGTGTGAAAACAAGCTTGTTTTTCTATTTTTTTCTTATGGTTTTCAAGACTTATTAATCCAGACTGACCCAGATCGCACATCTAATTTTGGTGGGCGAGTCTTCCAGCGATTTTCTGCATAGACTCAAACTCGAGACTTACTTAAACGATATCAAATTGCTTACCATTTAAACTAATACATCGGTGAAAACAAGCATTTACTCAATTACTTTTGCCTTCATTTCTAGACGGGAAAAAAATTTGTTGTCTTCTTGGTTCTAAGGTTTTGTCTTGACTAATTCGGACTGACCTGCATCACACACATAGCTTTAGTAAGTAAGTCTCTTAACAATGATTTTCTATATATAAAATAGACTACAACTTAAGACTTTGCTTAAACGATATTAAATCAATGTATGATAATTTGAAAAAACACAATTTTGATTCTTTACATCTCACGTGTACGTCTCATATATATATATATATATATATATATATATATCATTTGAAATATGATAATTTATTGCAATGAGTATCGCTTGCATCGAACGGGTTCAAAATTAGTTGAAATATGAAATTCAAGTTTATTCATAATTAATACAAATTTATTTTATTTGAATCTCTCAAAAAGATTTTAATTTAAAAAAAAAACTCTTAAATGTCATTAAATAAAAGTTACCATATTTTGTAATTTTCCTTAAATCTAATTGTAATTTGTAAATTAGAATATTATAATTATAAGTAAGCTATAATTTGCTCCCTCCTACATAGGACGGGAGTAAAATCAACAGCGGATCTTCGTTAATTATTTATTTTATTAACTATGTTTATTTTAAAGTTTTATTTGTGTTCATCTTATAAAAATGTTTAAGTTATTAATATATATATATATATATATATATGTTCACTCTCAAAAATATTTTTTTGATCTGTCATTAAATGAAAGGCTTAATAAAAAAATAAGTGTCTTCGAAAAACATTTTGGTGTCTAATTTGTTTTTTACCAAAAATATGTGTTTAATGTTTTCTCAGTTATACTTTTAAGTGCCTACCGTTATATTTTTTTAATTTTTAATAATAAAAACATTATTTTTAAAATACCTTAATTTATTATAAACTTTTAATGAAATTATAAAAAAAATTAAAAACTAAAATATCTCATTTCAACCTACGTTATCAAGTGTTGCCGGTCATTTCTGGCTACTATCGTTGCCGGTCATTTTGGGCCACATCGTCGTTGAACACTTGGATTTTGATCGGAATTGTATGGTGGTTCGAATGTGGTGGCGGTGATGTGGCTTAAAGACATCGGGATTGAAACCGACGAACCTTTAAACGTTTCTCTATAATAAACGATAACACTTTACGACGAAAAGCCAATGGAGGTTTAGTTAGGGCTCGACACCGGTGCCAATGAAGGTGGCGGTGACGGACACGGATGACCCACCAATGACCATGGAAAGGGAAAAGGAGAAGGATGACGCAAGCCTGGGTTGTGGTTTTTTTTAATAATTTTTTTAAATAAATTCTTAATATTATCAGAACGTGGCATGTGTCACTTAACAGCCGTTAGAGTCCAGACATCTAAAAATCTTCAATAAAAACGTTAGAAACCTATTTTTAACGAAATTTATTTAAGTACTAAAACATTTTTCGAGATAAAATTTAAGTAATTTTTTTTTGTATTAAGCCTAAATGAAATAATATTCTGATTACGTTAATTTTGGTCTAAAATTGGGAACTTCGTATTTACATTAGCATATTTTGGGAAATATTATTTGAATCCAATAAAAAATCTAATAATATTAACAAAAATATGTATAATTTAAATTTAAATTAATAAAGAAAAAAAGTCTACAGTACCAGTGGTCAAATTGCCCAAATCACAATATCTTCTTTATAAGAAAAGGTTAGACAATGTATTTAGTCACCCAATTATAATTTTGGTTTTATTTTGGCAATCCAATTATTTTTTTAAAATCATCACTAATGTCACGTTTTAGTTTCACTTTGATCACCTACGAGTACAAGATTACTAATGATGTTGATGTGTTACCATAAGGTAAATCCATATCATCATTGAAAAATGAAAAATATTATGTTAGCAATTTTGTTAAAATTTTAATGATAATTGACTAAAATAAAACTATAGTAATAGTTGAGTGATTAAATAAGAAATGTACCCTAAAACAAAGACAAATGAAGAGGAAACATATATTATTTTGGTAAATTACAAATTGAGTAACTGAACTTTACTTTCTCTCTCCTATTTCACTCAATATACTTTATTTTTTTTTTAAATTTTCTCACTAAATTTAATACATTGATTTTTTTTCACTCGGCTGTTAAATAGTTAAAGGAGTTAAAATGAACTGTTATATAGATGCAAAACAACGTTTTTTGATTAAAAAATTATTTTTTTTAAACATTTTTTTAACGATGTTAACTATTTAACGATAGAGAGACCAAAATAAGAGAAAGAGTAAATTTAGTACTGAAATTTGCAATTTACCTTTTTTTTTAATTTCCAACCATAAAACCATGCTCTCTTTCCTCCATTAACGGTCAATTTTTTTGTTTTTGGATTCGTTTATTAATATCCAAAATCATCATAATAATTTTTATTAATTTATTATATGTTAATCTGTCTGGATTCCCTTTGATTCTTCTCTTTCCGTTTACTCTTCCGTTCACACAGTAACAATTCAAGCTGCCGACCCATTCCTTTTGATTCTGAAGAAACCCTTGATTCCCCATAAGCAAGCTTCCTTTTCCTTCACATAGCCATTTTGTATTTGTTTGTCATTTTGGTTGTCGAATTTGATATAGGCTTTTGTTATTTGGGGGGAGGAGACTGAGAGAAGGGAAGATGTTAACGTGTGTAACTTGTTCAAAGCAGCTAACCAACAACAATGGATCTGTTGGTCGTCAACAGGACGAAGATACTTTGGAAACTCCTAGGACTAGGCAAGCCATTAAATCTCTCACTTCTCAGGTAATTTTTTTACTCACTATATACATGTATAAATATGTACAAATTTGCTTACATGCTTTTTGTGTTTGTTTCCCGAGAAAATGCGGAAAAAAGGTGATTATGAATAATTCGTCTTCGATGTTGTCTTTTATTGGAAAATAAGCTGTGAATCTTTTTTATGGGTTTATTGTTGTGCTGGTGTTTGTTTCTTATATCTTTATCGAGTTTGTTTTTCCTTCTAAAATTTTTTAGTTTTCAGAAGAAAAGGGGAAAAGCAAAAATTCCCTGAATTTGTTTTGTTTTCTATCTTTTCTTTCCCCAATAACAAAAAAGGCTTTTAGTGACAGTGGAAATTTCTTTTTATATAATTCTCAGATCAAGGACATTGCATTGAAAGCATCGGGAGCTTATAAAAACTGCAAGCCATGTTCTGGTTCATCAAACCATAACCGGAACTATGTTGACTCTGATGCTGCTTCTGACTCAGCACATTTCCATTGCCCTTACCGAAGAAACGGAAGCCATACACCCCGAAACTGGGGCAAAGAGATGGAATCAAGACTAAAAGGACTTTCCAGTGCAGAAGGTACCCCAACATCAGTTAGTGGCTGTACAGAATCATTAGCGTTTATGGAGGAAGATGAACCTAAGGAATGGGTTGCTCATGTGGAGCCCGGTGTTTTAATCACATTCGTCTCATTGCCTGAAGGAGGGAATGACCTGAAACGAATTCGATTCAGGTACTTTATTTTGTTAATGGTATATATGATATTGAAGGTTATGGTTTGCCCGGATGCGATCACATTTTATGTTTTGAAATGGTAGCCATCATATTTGTGATCTACTCTTTGGTTCAAACGTTTGTATATCAAATATATGCTTTGCAAGTGTTTATATTGTTTTGTTTTGGAGTTGTCTCCTTGAGATTTGGTTGCCATTCTTTGCCCTTTGTTTGATACTGGAGGTTTCTGTTCGTTGGTTTGTGATTGCATGTGGTAAGTATGTTGATTGTGGTAATTGGAGCTGGACGCCTCGACATTATCCTTTGTCACTTCATGTCTGTGTTGCTGTCTCACTAATTTTCATGAGAGGCTTTGTGAGTGAAATCTATATCTCATCATTGAATTGGCCGCTAGACCTGAGTTCTCTCTATGGCTTGAGCCACTTTGCATTATAGCTTTTCTTGCATCGCTAGTGATTATGCAATAATGAGGACAAAATTTTGGTTTCTCATGGTCAAATAAGCTCAATCTATATCTCATCATTGAATAGGTATCCTTTTTGTTCATTTTACAGTTCATGAGCACTAAACTTTTTAAGGTTTGTGCTACCCCTCTCAAAAACACCATCTCCAAGGTTTGAATTTGGGTTCTCTCCCGGTGAGTGCAGTGTTTACCATTGCATCTAACACTTGTTGGTCAACTGGAGCTTTATGATGGTTAAACTATTTGATCTGTATGTGTTTCTTATTCCTTGGATAGTGGGTTGTGAATTGGTATGTCAGTAAGTGGAATGTGTGAGAAGACACTATGGCCAAGTTTATTTGATTGTTGAGTAGTACACTGATTGGTGAACTTTCTGTAACAGTAATACTAAAGGATTAAAGAAATGTCTTCTTCACATGCAATTCCCTTTGTCGTTCAGGGAGTTCACTGGCTACATTTACATTGCCCTGGTGATTGTCATTGAACAAGGCATTTAATAGAATCACAAGAAAATGTCCTTTCCTAGAAGTCATTCCTTGTCAATTAGTAATTGGTTTTTTTATGGGCTAAAAATAAAACCTTTCATGTCTTAACTCCTCAGTACAATCTCACTCAGGAAATACCATTTCCATATTTCGTGTTTCTCATGTAGCAACCCTAAGGGCCTCAGTGTTAAGCACCAATGGCTTTTAATATTGTTTATTCTTTACCATCTCATCATTTTCACGTTATAATATTGACAGAAGACTTTGAACATACATGACTACAAACTCCAGGTTGTTTCCTGACTTATCATCCTGCATAATTTATAGAAATGATGATTTAGATACTTATAAGAAATCTGAAAGGGAAAAAAGTCGGACTAATTTTCCGTTCCTCTACTTCTTATTTTAATTTTATCCTCGTATTTAACTTTGAGATAATGTTATCTCTTGCCTTTTCACCGAGAAAATATTGGCTATACTGGACTGAAGGTCATTACCTCCAATGTATGGAAGGATATGATTCCAAATCTGCAATGGTTCCTTGCTTTTTTTTAAGAACCCACCTTTTATCTGCATATTTGGCTGAAAAATTGATGGGATATTTTGTTTGATAATTACTGTATAAAACTATTTTTGGACAGTATTGCACAAAGAGCATTATCAACTGATGTTTAAGTTTGAAACATAGGACCAAGATAAAAACATTTTGAAACTTAAACTTCTATGACTCTGCAACTTAATTAATCGGTTCCTCTTGATAACATTTTGAAATCAACTGATGTTCTTGATTATCTTGTTAATGGACTCAACTGAAATTAGCGAGGCACTAAGCTGCTGTAGATCCGTTGAATAACCAATTGTCTATTCTTTTCTGCACACTTGCCATTTCGAGGATTTTTAAACTTCAAGCACTGCAATTATCAGCTTTTGCTCTTTTTTCATTCTATGGTTTCTTGTTGATTGCTTGGAGTGCTAATCTATCCTTTTGTTAATTTAATCAGTCGTGAAATGTTTAATAAATGGCAAGCTCAAAGGTGGTGGTCAGAGAACTATGACAAGATCATGGAATTATACAATGTTCAACACTTCAACCATCAAGCAGTCCCACTTTCAACTCCCTCAAGATCTGAAGACAAAGTAAGCTTCTTCCATCCAATTTATTTTTTCAACTTATTTATTGTCTTTAGCATCAGTTGGGGGAAGTCCTAGTTCTTATATTTTTAAAATTCAATAAGCTTTCTAAGCCTTCTCGTATTCCAATTAGTTTTGTCCACCCCTTACAGGGATCAAGAGTTGAATCAGCAAAGGAAGGTCCTTTGACTCCACCCCTGGAAAAAGAACAGCCGCACAACTTTGTGCGGCCAACAGGAATGGGCTACTCTCCATCGGATTCCCTAGATCATCGCCCAGTGCAATCCCGTCAATATTATGACTCCGCTGCACTTGCTTCAACACCGAAACTCTCCAGCATTAGTGGTGCCAAGACTGAGACATCATCTGTAGATGGCTCTGTAAGGAGTAGCTCGTCAAGAGAAAATTATTCTAGAGAGCCCTCCATTAGTAATACCAGTGACATAGAAACCGAATGGGTTGAGCAGGATGAACCAGGGGTTTACCTCACTATTAGAGCACTTCCAGGTGGCTCTCGTGAGCTTAGACGTGTCCGCTTCAGGTACGTATTTTGTTTGGTATACAAAATAGATGGAATAAAGGTCAAAACTGTTCAAATAGTATTATAAAATAAAACTCTAAGAGAAGCCATATTCTTCATTCCAGATGCGGGAATCGATGGAATAAAAACCCAAACCCTTTTTATTTTGGTCCTATGTTTTCTTGCTGATTATTACCAACCGGCCATTCCGTCCTTCATTGCTCTAGAGTTGCCTTTAAATCATTTGGGATAGGCTCTATTAATGGTAGCCTTAAACTCTAAAGTCGAGATTTGAAGTCAAATCCTTATTTGCTAAAGAAAATTGCTGAAAGGTTTGAGATTCTAAGTCTCTGACTAGTAGATGTAAATGCTTATGAATTCGTTGTTTATCACTGCCATGTTTTCTTTGAGTTGGTCATCTTTCAAATAAAATGAGAGTTGCCCTTTGCAAACTTTGAATAAACAGCTTAAAACTAAAATGTATAATAGACCTCTTTGGATTCAGCTAGCTCTTTGCTTATTTTTCTCCATGATTAAACTCTGAGTGGAGGGTTTTGTATTTTATTTCTTAGATGAAGTATGGTGGGACAGATTGATATCATAATTAGCATTTTTGAGTTAAGTAATCCCTAGTGAAGTAAGGGAACTATGTCGATGGAAGCAGACAATTCAATGGTCCTATAAGATTGATTAATTTGGTTCCAGTGTAGTTCATATGATCCAAAAACCTAGGCCATATAATTGCTAGCTTGAGTTGGTAACTGGTCCTCTCACCTCCATGACCCTGGTTATCCTGCTGTGAATTTACGGGACGTTTTTCCGCTCCCCCATGGCCCCAACTGCAAACTATAGAAGGGAGCTTAATATGAAAGTGTTAGTAGTAACAAAAAACCATAGTTTGTTTCTTGATATGTATGAATGATTCATTGCAGCCGAGAAAGGTTTGGAGAAATGCAGGCAAGGATGTGGTGGGAAGAAAATCGAGGCAGGATACAACAACAATACTTACTGTGAGATTTAGCAAATCAGTGGCATAGTGACAATTTATCTCCTTTTAATTTAACCCACAGTTTTTACTGTTTAGGCACAACTAATCACAGAGCTTTTGTTTTTGTTTTTACATGATCAAACTATGCTCATTGTGACATTTACCATGAAATCAATGATGGGATGGTGTCAATTTGTCTCCTTCTAACCGATGGTTGTTTAGCAAATCAATAATTGGTCTTCTTTGTCTGTTCAAATTCAATAATGTATGAGATTATCTATTTCGATCCAAAAGTTTTTTGATTTTATTTGTCTCATTGGTAAAGGAAGTGTTATTCTTCCTTGAGGTATTGAGTTTGAATAGCTACGTCTGTAGAGTGTGTATGCGTCGATTGTTAATTTACTAAAAAATCTGAAAAAAAATACTATCTTATAAACACCTAATATTACTAAAAAGTTTCTATTTCTTCACTAAATTATTGTATTTCATCTTCATAATCAGTATTGTATTAATGAAAGTTGGTATGTGAAAAATATTTGATAAATGTATATAAAATATAAATATCTTTTAAATTAGATTAAATAAATTTCAAATGAAAAAATTATCAACAAGTTTCACAAATACAATCTCTCATAATAAAGAAGGAAAAAGGTCATCCAAAAGGAGAAAATCCCGCAATCTAAGCTATTACTTGAGATTATTTATTAATGAAATTAAAGCAGACGTAACATTACAATGATAAAGATAATCGGAAACAATCGCACAAATCAACTGATTTCGGTGGTAAAGGAATTATTATTCTTTGAAGTCTCGGGTGAACAAAGTATCATGAATGTCAATAGTGTGAACATTCAGTGTCAAATGGCTCAAAATTATCTTTGAACAAATACTATTTAATATTTACCCCAAAATAATCGGAAACAACCTAATATTATTTATGGGTTTTTATATGATATTTTTATGTTACAAGTTAATTCTTCCCCTTAACACAAATAATTTATATAAAAAAACTGCTCACATTAGTATTTGATTTTTTTTTATCTGAGGTCTGCATTTCCTTGAATTTCTTTTATATATTCTTGTTCAACCAACGTACTTTGATCGATTATAAATAATAATCAGGGACAGACATGTGATTTTATGTTACGGGACGAATTTATAAAATTTTAGAAGTGAGCAGACTTATAAAATTTTAGGGGGATGAAAACAAATTATCAATAGAAAATACACAAAAAAATCTTAAATATAAAAGAATTTAAAAATTTCGGGGGACTACTGCCCTTACCCGTCCTCTCTATCCATATCTGGTGATAATATTCAAATGATTTAGAGGTCTACACCCAAATGAAGCTAACATACCATACTTTAAACTGAAAGTAGAATATTGAAATTATGGATGTTAGAGATGCTATTCACAAATGCCAAAAGTTGGTTACTCAACTTTTATATATGGATAATGTTACTCTTATCCTATCACAATTCTTATGGTAATGGTTTCACAATTTATAATATGAATGAAACTTGGTTCTCAAGGAAATTTTTATTATACACAACTACAAGCATCAATAACTTGAAATTTGGAAGAAAAATGATCCATGATGTTCTAAAGGCTTCTTGTAGATAGGTAATAGACATGGCCATGGTAAGTTCTTGTTGTAGAATATATAGAAGCTTCTTACAAACAAATTACAATGTCCATTGAATCAATTCTCTGAGCATAGTTCAATATCGTGCTTCAGAGTTTAGTTTAGACATTACATACAACAGTGGGCAGTATTGGATCATAAAGGAGGGTCCTTGGCTATGGCGAGGCTCGTATCTTGGAAGCTTGCAGTAACATCAAATCCTGACATGAAGTCATCCCCAAAGAGCACAGCACCAACTGCCAGTGCTACATCTCCTACTCCCATTGCAAAACCAGGTCTTGGCCCTAATCCAATACTTGATGGCATGATGATATACGTCTCTGTTTTGATGAAGAAAGTGGGGATTTAACCGACGTTAGAGGGTGGAGGTGGCGGTGGAGGAGTGGTAGTCCTAAGTGTCGGGCAATGGTTGTGTCCAGAAGCTGGTGGACTATAATTGTTTGTGGGATATGGTAGCGGATGTTTATATGGGAATGAGATGTTCAGTTGAGATTGATCATGAGGCCTTGTTGCCTCTGTTGTTGGATAACTGCTTTCAGTAAACTAAGGAATATCAGCTCTATGGTCCATGAGAACAAGTCCTCCATCATTACCTGCATAACCATATATATAATCCCAGCCCCAAAAAGGTTAATAAGAACATTAAGAACTAAGGTCAACATCAATCTCAAATGTCAAAAAAAAAAAAACAATTTATGTGAAAAATACTTGAGAAAGAATCAAGATTTTGTCTCCTCCGAGACACGAATTGAGATGTCAACAAATCCTTGAGGTTTGATGGAGTTTCCTTTGCGCAACTGGTAGTTCCCTACTTGTTCACTTGAAAAGGAGGAGGTGGAACTGTTGTTATATTTGGCCAGAATTTTTTTCAAGGCAACACTTGCAGTACCTTGAAGTCTTTCTCTCAGAAAAATGGGCTCTCTGATGTACACTTCAACATGAAGAACAATGTCCTGAACATCAGAGTCATCAACCAAAGCTGCAAACTTGGTTTTCTATACCGGGTTTGAGCTCCCGGAATCACCAATCTTTCTGCAATATTGTAACATCCTCAATACCGGGTTAGTGACTAAATTGTAAAACTTTAGAAGTTTATGACCAAAGTAGAATAATTGAATATTTCAAGGACTTATTTAGGAAATGTTGTGTAGGATCAAATTATAAAGAATAAGGAATTGAATGACAGAAATAGTAATTGGCAAGGAATAAATAAATTTGTTATGGTTATATATAATCCACGTGGATGGAAAGGAGAAAAGATCAACATTCCAGAGTTCTCTTCTTCTCATTTCTTCTTTGTGCGTGAAGACCCCAAAACAAAGGTGAGTTTCATGGTTAGTTAATTTCTTATTGAATTTAAGGTTGGTTTATGATCATTAGATGATAATTAAGCTTAAGGAAAGCTTAAGTTATCTTAAAATCAAAATATGATGGAGTTAAGAGAGATTAAACATCAGGAGTTCTTGAATGAAATTTTGGAATAGAGTTCATAATTAGAATTGGAAGTTAAATTTGACTTGTCATCAACCTAATTAAGGAGTATGAAGTGTTAGAATTGGATTTAGAACATGCTGAAATTTGAGTATGATTCTTGAATTCTATGTAGAGGATTTGATTTTGAAGTTAAGAATGTATTGAATGAGTAGAAAGTGAGTTAAACATGTGTAGGTGAGTTAAGTATTTGAAAGGGGATGAAATATTAAGAAATTGAGCTAGAATGAAGAGATTTATTTTCTTAAAATGTGATTTTTGGGCTAGGGGTATCGATACCCACTCAATAGGTATTGATACTTCAAGGGTTAAATTTAGGAAGAAATTCAAGGGGTATTGATACCTTGAAGAACAATATCGATACCCAGGGTTATCGATACCTTAAGGAATGTATTGATACCATCTTGAATGAAAATTTATAGAATGCAATAAGGGTATCGATACCTAGGCATGGTATCGATACCTACTTTAGATAAGAAATGTAATTTGCCTTTCCTTTAGTCTAAGAAATGAAATATTAGAGTATATCAATTAGAATACTGATATGGATCAATGTATAATTATGTAGATATTGTACGTAACTCTGTTCCAGAACAATCAAAGAATTAGAAACGGTCAAAAAAGATATAAAGTGCTAGTATTGATTCGAATCAAGTGTGGTTGAGGTGAGTGCATTCTATAGATACAATTCAATAGAAATAAGACTTGTGATAAGTCTATTTCCTAGATTTAATTTTATGGATTCCTTTTCATATACATGCATATGTTGTGGTTATAATAAGTATTTGCATACCTTTTAAATATTTTAATATAATATATTATGAATGTATGCAATTATAAGAGAACAAATACATGTATGAGTAATAAGCAAAGTGATCATATGTGTTCATGTGAAGTGAATGGTACGTTTATATGAAAAGTAATAAAAGAGATACGAAAATGGGAAATGTATTCATAATTAAGCCCATGCTATATGATATGAGAGATGTAGGTATAATTGGCATGCCAAGAGTCGAGGGATTATCAGTGGTCCTTCGGGATATAGTGGTCCTTCGGGACAAGTTTTCAGTGCCCCTAGTGGGAATTTATTCGAGCTATGGCGACAACATTCGTGCACAACCACAGTGTACTCACGTACCTCTTGTTCTCAATAATGTACATGGGCATCCAAAGATAAATTGAATGAATACTCTTATGAGAAGTTAAAAATTCATTTGTGTATATTATAATTATATATGTCATAGTTTAGTGGATAAATGTACATTGCAATGTCATGATAGATTGATAGTAATGCATGTTCATGAATCTATTGTTATACGTTCATTTTATGCCTCACTAAGTCTGTGACTTAGCGTGTAAGTGGTTTACACGTAGGTACCAAGAAACAAGAAGATCAGAATTAGGAGTTGCAAGGACATCATACCTTACTAGAAGATCATATCAGAAGTAATTGGCAAAGTATGCATTTTGTTGTATTTAGTGTATTGGCATGTAAACAGTTTGTGAATTACAAATGCTCTGATCGATTTTGTATTATTCTGGTTAAAGTTGTGTAAAGTAACAACTTTTATTTTAATGAAAGTTTCAAATTTCTATGATTTTCTTTAAGAGTCAAAGTTTGAAAAGTCAAATGTGACACCTTATATTCGTATCCGGATTGGTTACGAGTTGGGGGTGTAATATTTAATGGTATCAGAGCCATGTTTTAGACGATTCTAGGCATAAACCGGAGTTTAAAGTGTCTTTAAATGTGTACATGTCAACGTATAAGTAAGAACTTCTGATCTGATAGAATATTAAGTATGTTGTTTTGGTAATAGAATGACATGGTTATGTCTTAATAGATGTTCGGACATGATAGTTCTAGAAGTGAAGCGGGAGACGATAAGCCCGCTGAGAGCAGTAATTCACTTACTCTGGCTAGGCAAGGTGATGAGCAGGCACCTTCTAGAGTGCCTG